TAGGTCAACTTTCAGAGAAGTCTGAGGGACTTTGCTGGCACTGTAACTAACTTGGGCACAAGAGAGCTCAATGCTGGCAACTTCAACACAGGGGAGACGATACAGCAGGAAAGGCTGGTATCCAGAAAAGTTGTTGGAACTGTGGAAAGCACGGACATTTGAGGAGCCAGTGTAGGAGGAATATTACCAACAGGTCAGCCTCACGGAGACCAGTAGTGGCTGGCGTGAGCGACGCCCATCAACCCCCATCTTGAAAGTTTGATAATTGATTTTGATAAAATGACGTTTGGGAACAACAAAGGCCAAGTTCCAGTAACTGTTAAGAGAGAGGTAGAACTAACCAGGTGCCTTCAAGCTGAAGTCAAGCCGACTGAAAGAGCTGGTGATGGTGAAGTGGAACCAAGTATAGATATCAAGGCAGAACAGGAGAAAGACCAAGATTTGAAGCCAATAATTGATTTTCTAAAAGCAAGTGTTGTGCGCCCTGCTTGGGAGAAAGTGTTTAGTCTAAGCCCTGTGATAAAGCACTATTGGGTGCAATGGGAGCAGTTGAAGCTTGAAAATGGTATTCTTGTCCGGAGATGGGAAACTACAGATGGGAAAGTGACGACTTGGCAAACAGTTGTACCGAGGAAGTTACGGGAAGTTGTGTTGCGTCAATCCCATGATAGTTTAACAGGAGGACATCTCGGAATCAAGAAGACATACGACAAAGATTTTATTGGATAGGTATGAGGCGAGATGTGGAAGAATGGTGCCGGACATGCAGTACATGTAGTGCAAAAAGAGGACCCAACATAAGGGATGCCCAACTTATGAAGAGTTGCCTGAGAATATGTCAGAGTTTGTGAAAGTGTTATCGAAAAGGATGGATGATATTCACCATCAAGTGCATTCAAACTTGAAGACGTCTGCTGATTCGATGAAGTTAACTTATGATAAGAGATCTACTGAAGTCAGCTTTGAATCAGGAGACAAGGTGTGGTTGTATAATCCCACGAAGACCAAAGGGAAGTCTCCTAAGTTGTCTTCTCCATGGGAAGGCCCATATGACATAGTGGATCGTCTCTCAGACGTGACTTTCCGGGTAAAATGTGGTCGGCGAGGTAAACCAAAAGTGGTGCATGCCAACAGGCTTTGGCGTTATCACGGTCCAGGACATTTCAGTTGGGACGAAGTGGAAAACAGAACAAATGACGGCTGCTGAAAAGTGCCACCTGAAGAAGCCACCGTCGAAGAAGAAACACTACTCAGTTTGGAGAAGGGAAACGGTGAAGCTCTTGGTGATGTTACTAACACTGATGTGACTATTACCGATGATAGGACATTTACTGATGAAGCAGATGAATCCCACATGAAGCAGAAGCCAACGAGACGGAGACCAGTACGGAAGAAGATACGTCCCGAAAAATTAAGAGACTTTGTTGAATTGTAATTTTGTCTTTGTAATTCTGTACAGTTAATTAAGTTATTGTTAATTGTTATTGGTTTATTATATGTAGTTATTGTTCGGGACGAACAATATTAAGGAGGGGCAGTATTGCGTCATCGAGATCACGTGACAATTCTCACGCTCTCTTGTTTCTAGAACTATCCCGTATCTTGGCGAATGGTCTAGTATTTACTAGTAGGGTAGGCTGGTATATATAAGAGAGGAAAACGTGACGCGGTAAGGTAATGTGTGTGTAGACAGTGAGTAATTGAACTGCAGTCACAGGGTATTGTTGAAGTTAACGTTCGTTCGTGATACTGTTTGTTTTAGCGCGAATATTGAGATTAAGTGTATCACAGAGTTATATTCGGAAAGAATAAACCAGAAGAAAGGACTTGTGTCGCTTAAGTTTCGTCGGAACGAAGTTACAGAAAGTTAATTAACAAACGGAGACGTAACAGCCCCATTCCTGAAAGTAATCAT